TTTCAGAATTTATTTTCCTTTGATTCATGATTATTTTCTGCCACATAAAATAAAACAAACTGAAGTTAGAAAAAGGATAAAAAGTCAAAATGTTGCAGTTTGAAACAATTAAATCTCTAATGAATCATTTTGATAATAAAGACAATAAACAGTTTTTACCGCCATTTAAAGGCCATCATTACTGAGCGGCGCCCTCTGGCGGACAGATGAGGCAACAGCAGCTGAACGCTGTCGGTCCGAACCGAACTCTTTCTAAACCACGTTTGTTTCATTTCCTTTCTATTTCAAATAAAGAGTTTTAGTTTGATCATCAGACTTAATACAGAAAACATGATGAATGAACGAGTCACTGAAACCACATTTAAAAATGTTTCTGCATTAAATACAAGAGAAAAACGAAATAAATGAATAAATCTGTTGAATGTTTCAGTTTCTGCTGAAACCATGAAACAAAAGCAGCGAAACAAAAAACAAACCTGGATTCAAGTCAACCTGCGAGGCTCTGCGTTAAAAACCGGATCAAGTTCCGTGAAGTTCAGAGGAACCGACACATCATCCGGACTCACCTGCAGAACCTCCGAACCGGTACCGGAGCGGAAAAACCCGGAGAGACGAGAGAGACGAGAGGAGAGGAGGAATAATGTTTGATAATCTGGAAGAGAGAGAGAGAGAGAGCGGGGTGAGTCAGAGTCAGACTGAACACACACACACACACACACACACACACACACACACACACACACACACACACACACACACACACACACACACACACAGTGACTCACCATGATGTTTTCTCCTCATTTACACATTTATAGTGAAGTTCAGGTTAAATGTCAGATTTTCTCTCTCAGCCTGAAAATTAACTAAAATATCATCAGAATCATTTTAATGGTCCGACTGGTTTATTAAAACCCAGAAGTTCTGCTTTGGTTCTGCTTTGGTTCTGCTGGGGAGCCGCAGACGGAGCGTTCACGCATTGCAGCGGAAAGTTGAGTGGAGGGAAAAAGTGTGGTGGAAGAAGAAATGACTTCAGCTTTAAGAGACACAGATGAAGTTAGAACCGAACCAGAACCTTCTGGACCAGAACCAGACTGCTGCTCAGTCCAAACGTCTCTTTTCAAATGAATATTTTAGATTTTATTCATGAATCGAGGTCTGAGAGTCTGGAGGAAGAGCAAAGAATCACCTGCTGGTTCTGGTCCACCAGAACCTTTTATCATGGTCCAAACGCTCTGACCAGCCTGTTCCCCTCCTGGCCTGTGGGGGCGCTGCACCAACAACCACTGCAGGAAACGACACTAAAACCTCTGAAGACACTGAGAGCAACTTCCTGTTTCACCAGATGAAACAAGATGGAGGCGTCAGAGTTTAGTGATCTTTAGTCTCCCAGCTGCTAGCGCTAGCGCTAGCGCTAGGCTAACATGTTAGCTTTGGTTGGATTTACCCAGAATGCCTTGCACTGAAGTCCATCTTGGAACCAGTGTTCTCTTCAGCCGAACTGTGAACAGGTCAAAGTTCATACCAGAACCGGACTTCCTCGAGAAACGGACTGGAGTTCCTCTTCAGTTCTGGAAACTCCTCTGAACCGGGTCAAACCGGACAGAACCGGTCAAACCGGACAGAACTGGGTCAAACCGGACAGAACCGAGTCAAACCGGGCAGAACTGGGACAAACCGGACAGAACCGGGTCAAACCGGACAGAACCGGGTCTGGACCAGAATCTGATCCTGTCTGTCACTAAATGATGAGCTTCACAGAATGAAGTCTGAAAACAGACGGTTGTGTTTGTTTCTGTCACAGTAATTACTGTAACTATAGGTGGAGCAGCAGAACACACACACACACACACACACACACACACACACACACACACACACACACACACCGTGGCCTCACAGCCAGTCTAAGGACAGATGACTGAGGAAAGTCAACTAAACTGTTTTGGTATTTTAACAATGTTTTTATAAACACACTGAAACATTCATAGAGTTAACATTAGGTCTGGACTTTGACTAGGCCGCTCTACCAAATGAACCTGCTTCTAATCAGTCAGGAGTTGATGACTCCTGAACAGTTAGCTTCTGGGCGATGCTACAGAAACCTTTTTATAATTTAGCATAAATGCTGAACATCATCCGGCTGATTTTAGTTCTTAAGGACGGATGACTCGACAGCCATTTTACAATGCTAGCTACGTTAGCTTTATAAAGCAGTTAATCAGAAATTGGAGCATCAGATAAAAATTCATTTAGTTATTTTATAGCATATTTACTAATAGTTTAAAAATAGATTTGATTTTATAATGAAAATGATTTCGATCATTTCTTACTGCAGGTTTTCTTCTAGGTTTGTTCTGGATTTAGGCTCCACTGGCTTCCCCGTCCCTCAGCATGATGCTGCCACCACCCTGCTGGGAATGCTCCACTTTTTGCATTTAAGAAAAATTTTTCTTTCTTTCATCAAACTAATTTCTGCAGACTTTCCTCCACCTGAGCTGCGGCTCTCTGCAGCTCCTTCAGACTCAAAATGAGCTCATTTTGCTTTCAGTTTATCTCAGTTTCAACTTTAATTGCATTAAAATCAGAATTTCTGATTTATTTTTCCTCTAAGCCTCATTTTTCCATCTTCGTTATTAGAGCCGTTTCCAGGAGTGAAGATGCTTCGGATTCTGACCGCTTGGTTTTCCTCTAACATCTGGAAGTCATTAGCGGCGCTGACATCACTGCAGCCAGCAGGCGCTGACGTCGAGCGGCTCGGGACACCAGGAGAGTTCAGGCTTCGCTTCGGCAACGACGTCAAAGAGCAAACATCCAAACACAGAGGTTTCCATCTGGAGGACGAGCAGAACGCTGCAAAACGCTGCAGAATGCTGCAGAACGCTGCAGAACGCTGCAAAACGCTGCAGAACGCTGCAAAACGCTGCAGAACGCTGCAAAACGCTGCAGAACGCTGCAAAACGCTGCAAAACGCTGCAGAACGCTGCAGAACGCTGGAGGGGAACCAGGAGGGAAAACCGAATGCTGCTCAGAGGAAGAGGAGGATATGAGGATGAAGATGAGGATGAAGATATGAGGATGAAGAGGAGGATGAGGATGAAGATAAGGAGCTTCCTTTGGATCCAGTTTGTTGTGAAAACCCGTCAGTCGAGTCGAGTTCTGCTATTTTCTCCCCAAATCTACAAACATTTCATTAAAACCCAGAAAGTTCTGAACATGTTTCTATTTTCTGCTTCTAAATAATTTAACTTAAAATAATTTATTCATTCCAAAAGAAGCCAAATAAAATATCAGTTTTCTCTCAGAGTTGTTGAGATCTCCAGTAGCAGTCAGTCTTGCAAAGAATCTGAAGAGGCCTCTGACTGAAGGCTAACGCTGACATGCTAGCAGCTTAGCATCCAGCCATCTGCTGCTAATCCAGCTCCTTTGCTTTTGCTGCTCCTGTTTACATCCTGTTGGTTCAGAGATGCTGGAGTCGGGATACGATGGCGAAGATTTCCTCCTGCTCTACATCCATGACCCTTCTGCTCTGGGATTTGGGGTCAAAGTTCAAGTATTAATCTAGATTTTTAGAGGCTAACTAGCCGCTCCTAGTTGTACAAAAAAACCTCGTTGCCACGGTTACGCGTCATAAAAACTGTCTGAAGTAGACAAAAAAAAGAGAAAACCTTTTTCCATGGGCTCAGAACCAGAACCAGAACCAGAACCAGAACCAGAACCTTCATAATGAAAACCAGACGATGTTAAAACAGATTCACATCAAAATAAACTTTTTATCTCTTTGTTGTTTTTCTTACATTTTATCAAAGATCAAAATATCATAAATCACCTTGAAGCAAATTTTTTGATTGTAATTCAGTCACAGGTTCGATTCCCGGCCTGGCGACCTTTGACCTTCCCTCATCACCCACATTCCTGTCAATTAAGTATCAAATAAGGGTCACTTAAAAAAACTCAAAGATCATTGTGAATTATGAGCTGAATGTATTTTTACGTTAGTTGGGTAAAAATTAATCCATATTTTGCTTCTCACTCCAGAAACAAGAAACAAATATGATTTAGTTGTGATTTATGATCATTTTTGACTTTATTCAGGTTTACAGTCAGAAACACAAACTATTTATTTCTGAAAAATACAAACACAAAAAACTGTTAAATTCAATCATTTTATAATCAGTTTGTTTAATAATTTTTTTAAATTCCACAAAAACTTAAAGCTGCTTCAGTGTTTATTCGCCAAAACATAAAAAAGAATAAAGAAAATAAAACTTTCTGTAGCTCTGGTGCCCCCTGCTGTTCACTCTGCGTCATCACAGCTGCTCAGTAAAAACCAGCAGGATTTATTTACAGCAAAAATAATTTACAGATTTAATATCTACAAACATTTCAACTTTGACGGTTGTTGAATTTAAGCTGCTTTAAAAGAACAGCAGAAAAACGAGTCCAAGTCCTAGTCCAAGTCCTCCAGCTGCCAGACATTTAAAACATCAGAACATGTCTCAGAATCAGAACCGCTTAAAATGTTGACTGAACATTTCAGAAAACATTTAAAGTTTTTCATATTCAGGATGGTTTCAAATGTCATTTAGAAATGTAATTGGAAGGAAACTAGCATGTATGCTACATACTAGCTTGGAGGCTACATACTAGCATATATGCTACATACTAGCATATATGCTACATACTACCTTGGAGGCTACATACTAGCATATATGCTACATACTAGCTCGGAGGCTACATACTAGCATATATGCTACTAGCTTGGAGGCTACATACTAGCATATAGCTACATACTAGCTTGCAAGCTACATACGGTGTGACGTTAGCTGCCCTCATTTTCAGATTTCAGTGATAAATTTGACTGTTTGTTATTTTTTCCTGATTCTCTCACTTGTTGTTTCTCCCAGTAACATTTTGTTGTTTTCATTCCTAGTTTAGTGATTCTGTTGTTCCTCTCTCCTGTCGCCACATGCTTGGACAGTAATGTTGGTGATTGTTGTCATCCTGTGACAAACTGCAGGGGTTTTATTTTGAAGTTCTGATGTTTGGATCAGATTTGATTCACCTGATTCAGTCTTCATGTTTGGCTCATTGGGTCGTCCAGATGTACTCTGAAACACAGATGAAGGGTTTCTGGGCGCCTGGTTCTGACCAAACACCTCAGCCATGGTCTGGGGGTGGTAGTTGCTTGGCCTCTCTGCCGGCCTCAACTCTGGCCCTGACTCCGGCCCCGGCGCCGGCAGGTTGTACGTCAGGTTGGGGAACACGGTGGAGGCGGCGCGGGGGCTCTGCAGGGCCGGGTTGTTCCTGTAGAGGGGCGGAGCCGGTGGAATCAGAGCCATGTCTTCCTGGTCGGTGTTGTTGTTGTTCAGCGGCTCTGCAGGTTTGAGGATCAGCTCTGGGACGGCCATGTTGTCCTCGCCATGGCAACCCAGGCCTGACTGAAGGTAAGGGTCAACGCTCTTGACCTGGGAGACATCGAGACGTCTTCATCACTTCACAGCAAAACTAGATCATTCATTTTAATGTTTTATTTTCAGTATTTAACATGTAGACAGAAATATTCTGAGATGTTTACAGTAGATTCATTTTGCAAAGTTATTTAAAAAATGAGGAATGTTCCGTATTTTATGGAACTTTCAGTCTGAACTCACAGGCGAAGTGAACCAGTCGGCCATGTTGGGCTTCGGGATCTCAGGGTAAAACTTCTCCTTGATGCTGTTGGGTCAGAGAGACAAAGTCAGAGACGAAACGATGGGTTGTTTGGTTCTGTCCGGGTCCGGTCTCTCACCAGGCCCAGTGTCTGTAGCCCAGGACTGTGATGAGGAAGAGGAGGATGAAAACGGCGCCCAGGGAGATGAAGATGTTGCTCAAATCGTCTGCAGGAGAAAAACATTTCAGAAAAACAGTAAAAATGATCCGGATCAATCAGTTTTCATTAAATGTGAAACCGTCTGACTGCAGCGTGAAGCTTCGTCTTCCTGCTTGAATCTTTAATTCTTGCCTCTGGTTCTAATATTAATAATTTTCACTGTCAGACAGTTGTCTTGATGTGTAACCGTGGCAACAAAGAATTGTGTTTTACAGCGGATTAGCATCTGAACTTTGACCCCAAGTCCTTCCTTTCATTGTTTATTTGATACAAACATGAAGATAAACAATCTGACGCGTCTCAATGCTTATAATTTATTCCCCTGAACTGAAAGTTTATTTAGAAATGATTTTGTTTCTTCTTCAGCCTGGAAGTGAATATTTTAATCTCAGTTTTGTTTTTAAAGCCAAAGTTAAAAACTCCTAACAGAGAAAATGTTTTACTGCCAGGACTGGTGATGCATCATGAGGGACAATAGAAGATCTTTGAAAAACAAAATGGATGAATTTCAAATATGAATATTAGTTATAATGTAATCTCTTGGCGCCTGGCTGCAGCATCTTACCCCCTACTGCAGCATCGTATCCCCTGCAGCATCATACTACTGCAGCATCATACCCCCTACTGCAGCATCGTATCCCCTACTGCAGCATCATACCCCCTACTGCAGCATCGTACCCCCTACTGCAGCATCATACCCCCTACTGCAGCATTGTACCCCCACTGCAGCATCATACCCCCTACTGCAGCATCGTACCCCCCTACTGCAGCATCGTACCCCCCACTGCAGCATCATACCCCCTACTGCAGCATCGTACCCCTACTGCAGCATCGTACCCCCCACTGCAGCATCGTATCCCCCTGCAGCATCGTATCCCCTACTGCAGCATCGTACCCCCTACTGCAGCATCGTACCCCCACTGCAGCATCGTATCCCCCACTGCAGCAGCATCGTATCCCCTACTGCAGCATCGTATCCCCTACTGCAGCATCGTATCCCCCACTGCAGCATCGTATCCCCCACTGCAGCATCGTACCCCTACTGCAGCATCGTATCCCCTACTGCAGCATCGTATCCCCCACTGCAGCATCGTATCCCCTACTGCAGCATCGTACCCCTACTGCAGCATCGTACCCCCTACTGCAGCATCGTACCCCCCACTGCAGCATCGTATCCCCCACTGCAGCATCGTATCCCCTACTGCAGCATCGTACCCCCCACTGCAGCATCGTATCCCCCACTGCAGCATCGTATCCCCTACTGCAGCATCGTATCCCCTACTGCAGCATCGTATCCCCCACTGCAGCATCGTATCCCCTACTGCAGCATCGTACCCCCCACTGCAGCATCGTACCCCCACTGCAGCATCATATTCCCCACTGCAGCATCGTACCCCCCACTGCAGCATCGTACCCCCCACTGCAGCATCGTACCCCCTACTGCAGCATCGTACCCCCCACTGCAGCATCGTATCCCCCACTGCAGCATCGTATCCCCTACTGCAGCATCGTATCCCCTACTGCAGCATCGTATCCCCTACTGCAGCATCGTACCCCCCACTGCAGCATCGTATCCCCCACTGCAGCATCGTATCCCCTACTGCAGCATCGTATCCCCTACTGCAGCATCGTATCCCCCACTGCAGCATCGTATCCCCTACTGCAGCATCGTACCCCCTACTGCAGCATCGTACCCCCCACTGCAGCATCGTATCCCCCACTGCAGCATCGTATCCCCTACTGCAGCATCGTATCCCCTACTGCAGCATCGTATCCCCCACTGCAGCATCGTATCCCCCACTGCAGCATCGTATCCCCTACTGCAGCATCGTATCCCCTACTGCAGCATCGTATCCCCCACTGCAGCATCGTATCCCCTACTGCAGCATCGTACCCCCTACTGCAGCATCGTACCCCCTACTGCAGCATCGTACCCCCCACTGCAGCATCGTACCCCCCACTGCAGCATCGTATCCCCTACTGCAGCATCGTACCCCCTACTGCAGCATCGTATCCCCTACTGCAGCATCGTATCCCCTACTGCAGCATCGTACCCCCTACTGCAGCATCGTATCCCCTACTGCAGCATCGTATCCCCTACTGCAGCATCGTACCCCCTACTGCAGCATCGTACCCCCCACTGCAGCATCGTATCCCCCACTGCAGCATCGTATCCCCTACTGCAGCATCGTATCCCCTACTGCAGCATCGTATCCCCCACTGCAGCATCGTATCCCCTACTGCAGCATCGTACCCCCCACTGCAGCATCGTACCCCCACTGCAGCATCGTATCCCCTACTGCAGCATCGTATCCCCTACTGCAGCATCGTATCCCCTACTGCAGCATCGTATCCCCTACTGCAGCATCGTATCCCCTACTGCAGCATCGTATCCCCTACTGCAGCATCGTATCCCCACTGCAGCATCGTATCCCCTACTGCAGCATCGTACCCCCTACTGCAGCATCGTATCCCCCACTGCAGCATCGTATCCCCCACTGCAGCATCGTATCCCCTACTGCAGCATCGTATCCCCCACTGCAGCATCGTACCCCCCACTGCAGCATCGTACCCCCTACTGCAGCATCGTATCCCCTACTGCAGCATCGTATCCCCTACTGCAGCATCGTACCCCCTACTGCAGCATCGTATCCCCTACTGCAGCATCGTACCCCCTACTGCAGCATCGTATCCCCTACTGCAGCATCTCTGCCAGTTTTCCGACTAAACAGAAACCATGGAAACCGTCATGGCCGCTTGTTTTGCGCTGCAGTGGGAGGAAGTGGCGTACCCTGGTCGTTCAACACAACCTGCAAGGTGGTGTTGCCGTATGCTCCGCCCGCGGTCAGCGCCGCCACGATGAAGGTGTAGGAGCCGCTCTGCAGGTTGCTGGCGGTCAGCCTGGAGTCCGCTGGGTTTTCTGAACCAGAACATGAAAAAAAACTCAGATTTATAAAATCAGCCTTCAGGAGCAGCTCAGAGTGAACCTGACGCCTCACAGCGAGCGTTACCTGAGGTCACGCTGATGCGTTTACCACCGTTTTCAGAGTAATACAGCAGGACGTATCCATGGATACAAGCAGGCTGCTCTCTGAGAGGAAGTGGATCCCAGTAGATCTCCACATCAGAGCCGTGCCGAGTGTAGAACAGAGACTGAAAGAGCTTCGGTTGGCTTTCTGGAACTGAGAGGACAGTGAAGCGTCAGGGAATGACGTCTATGCTATCGCTGCTAGCCGCTGCTAACGCTGCTAGCTGCTGCTAGCCGCTGCTAAACGTTGCTAGCCGCTAACGCCTCACGTTTCTCTGTGAAGAAGACGTCCATCCTCTGCAGGAGCAGCGGAGCGCCGCTGGTGCAGGCGTAGATGGAAACCAAGTATCTGCGCCCAGCTGCGTCGTTCTCTGAGGACGAACCAGAGGACATGTCAACGGGACGGACAGACCAGCTGAGGACTTTACTGGATCATGGACTGGATCTCACTGGGTTTTATCCTGACTCTGTCCTGACTGGGAGGCAGCTTTACCCAGTCAACAGGATCACCCTCTAATGCTGGAAACCAGTCCACGATGTAGCCACAGATAGCTTCTGGACGGTGGAACCAGGACAGGTCGAGTCCCCCATCACTCCCAGTGAAGCAGGTCAGGTTCATACTGGTTTCAACTGAAAACAGAGACACTGGAGGTCAGATGTGGAGAAGAGGAAGTTCTGGTCTGACCAAAGGAACAAACAAACGAACGGCCCAGAACTTTCTGATCATCAGGAGGAGCCAGCAGTTACAGCCGAACGACTGAAATCTGAAAGGTTTCATCTGGATCTGGAAACCAACTGGACTTCTGCCTTCCTGACAAACCCAGCAACCGCTGTTTGGGTCTCAAGCTGTGATTGTCAGCCTGGACTGAAAGACCAAACCTGAAGCCGTCTCTATGACTGAAGATCAGGGGAAAAATCACCAAAGTGTGAGAAAAATAACCTTCAAAAGCTTTGAGCCTGGAGAACTGTTGATCTAAGCAACTTTTAAAGCTTACAGAGAATGTCTGAGTCAGAGAACAAACGCAGAGCGGAGATTTAGAAACTTGAGTCATGATTGTAAAAATAACTGAGTGTTTCTCTACTGGTCAGACGGTCAGCGCGTCTCAGAGCCCGGATCTCAGCCATCTCTATAAAAACACCGACTCAGCTCCATCGTACCTGGACCGGCGGCGGGGACGGCGACGGTCGACGGCGGGGAGCGGCCATGCTGGTTCTTCGCTGTTACCGTGACGACAGGACCCTCCCCGTTCAAAGTGAACTCATGAACGCTGGCGTTGACTTCCTCCTTGTGGAGCTGATCCGAGCCGCTGGTTCTGGTCCAGGTTACTTCATATCCGGTGACGTCTCCGTGGCTCTGATGGGCCAGAAGCTTCTGCAGAAACAGCCGCAGTGCAGTCAGACTACAACCAGCAGCTTCCAGAAACACACCGACATGAAAGCGATCGACTGTCATGCGCTCAGAAACAGGAAGTCGTCCAGCAAAGTTTCCTTTCACAATAAAGTTGCGCAAATTGAAGCTGTGAAAGCAAATCTGTTGAATGAAAACTGACAAAAATCAAGTTCTTTGATAAAAAGTTGTTGTCAGCGTGACATATGGTCCTGAGAAAGTGTTTCTCAGAACCACTTTCACGGGTCACATGATCAAAAATCAGATGTTTCTACTGGTGGAAACGCAGAAGAAGACGACAGGAAGTGGTCGGAGGGGATGCTTTGTTTTCTCCACCACAGTTCATTAATAGTTGTGTTTAAACATGTCGAATCCATAATCCTTCTGCCAAATGTCCGACTACAATTTCCCCAAAGCGCCGCAGACGTAGCCGCCCCACGTAGGCGGGGCTTGTCGCTCCAACGCCTGAATGAGACGCAGGCGGCTCTTCTGGTTGTTTTAATCTACAATGACGTGTTTTTTCATCAGACGAAGATTGCTGCACATGCCTGCAATAAACAGGAAGTGGAGGTTAACTAGCAAGGACCAAACATCTCAGGGAAACAAAGAATCTCCCAAACCGATCTGGACGTTTCTCTGGGCTTCGTGCCTCTGGTAAGGCACTGTGAGCCAAGTCAGGACTACGTGTTTCTGAGATGTTTCCATCTCAGAAACGTTAAAAGAATCATCTCAAGAGAGCATGGGAAGTTTAGTAAAGTTGAGGAATTTATTTTGAATGTTGCCGTTTCTAATCTTCACATTGATGAAACAGGGTTAGCATGAGCGTCTGAAACCGTAACGTTAGCAGATCTTCACTCTGCAGAAGCTGAAGACTCACCTTCCACACTATCACAGTCTGGCTTCCCTTCTTCTGCATCCACACATCCAGAGCATCAGGAACTGCAGAGCCCACAGGTCAGTGACTCACTGTTCACACTCATCGCTGAGTTCTGTGTCTTCTTCAGAAACTCACCATCACCTCAGTGTGGAAGGAAACGCTGCTCCAGTCGCTCCACCTCCAGAAATGTTGAGCTGTTCCACACCGAACCTTCACCTCATATTTCCAGTTTGGTCTCAGATCAGTTAAAACTGCCGTCTTCAGTCCAACTCCATGTCTGATCTGCGATTTGATCTGTGTTGATACATCAGAGATTAAACGTAATGTTTTTACTGTCTGACGTCTCTTTCCTGTAAACGTACGGATCCGTCTGAGACGTTGGTCTGGCAGCTCAGGTTCAGGTTGTGGTACTGCTGCACCGTCCAGCTCCAGCTCAGCCTCACACTCCTGGCTTTAACGTCACCAACGGCGAGATCATGTGGAGCAAACATGCGAACTGAAACACACAGAGACCGTTAGCCGGCTGGTTTTAAGTTTGAGCTGGTAGCGGCGGCTAGCTGCACCTCTTCTGGTCAGATCTGCAGAGTCGTGCAGCTCCACCTTTCCAAGAGCGTTCTGAGCTGTCAGAGTCCAGTTCCTCTCTCCGCCTCCAATCCTTTCCTTTTTAGAGCATCTAAACTCCGAACCGGTGACACATGACCTGCAAGACCAAAACAAGGTTTAGGTCTGGACTTTGACTGGGCCATCACAGTCATCCTGCTGCACATTTGCTGCTGTTTTTGGGATCATTTTCATTGTTTCATGTTTTTGTGGGATTATTGCATTTGTAGACTTGCTGACATGCTATTTCACAAACTTGATTTTATGCTAACATATTAGCATAGTACACAGCTTGTCAGATGCTAAATTGCTAATTCTTCATTCTCAAATCTGCTAAAATACCAATTAGTCAGTGAGACAGACTAACTTTTATAACTTTTTATATCTATAAAGGAACAGAAATCCAGGCTAACATATTAGCATGTTATTTAGCCAGTTAGATATTAGACAAACATGCTAGCAAGCCGGTCTCTGGTTGACTCAGAGACTGAAAGGTCAATACTGTTTCTAGAGAGAAGAAGCTTTCTCCTTCAGCACTACTATGCAGCCATACTGGTTCAGGGTCATGACCTTTAACCTGCTAACTGATCCTGACTGAGATGTTTTCCTCTTGGAGAATAATCTTTCAGTCCTCAGCTGGTCAGGATGTAACCCTTCCCAGACTGATGTGCAGTTGCTGACTGAAGGTCAGCGCTAACCTTTGACCCTCCATTGTTCTACTGACATCATTTCCTTTTACCTTCCATCCAGCTGATAACTTGTCGGATTCATGAATTTCACCATCGTGTCTCTTCCTTCGTTCCAAAAGCATTCCACTGACTCCAGATCCCGAGTTTCACACTCCAGGTCTTTGTCTCCCGGCGGGTCTGATTCAGGGAACGCACAGAAACCAGTCTGAGCTTTCTCACCAAACGGAGGGAACTCAAGGGAACGCCATTTCTTACTTACAGCCGATGTAAACGGCAGCTCCGTACTCTGTTCCTGATTTGGTTTTACAGAGGACATCTTCCATGACGGGTTCCAGCCGCACAGTCAGGCTGTATCTCTGCTCGCTGATCTTGGTGATGTTGCCTTGTCCATCCAGATGCATTTGGTCGAACTGACCGTCCGGGACGATGCAGCAGAAGGTGGCCAAGCTGCCAGCCTCCATCAGCGCGTCCTGGGGGAAGACGTTTCCTCTGAAGGTGTTTTTGTCTGCAGAAGAGAAGATCGGGGTAAAACCACAGGAGGCCCATACGGAGTACCGCAAGGCTGAGCCCCGGGACCCTCCTGTCCATTTCCTACAGGCTCACGGCGGATCAGGTCATGAGTTACCATGGCAACCTTGTGACGTCACCGGACCACCAGTCAGCGCAGAGTCTGAGTCAGATCTAGAGCTACAGATCTGCCAGGAACCAGAGGTCAGGCTGACCTCTGACCTCTATCAGCTGAAGAACATTTTCAGGACCTGCTGCTGTTGCCATAGCAACCCTCCAGCCCTCTCAGGCCCTCTGGTTCTGCTCTGCATCCAGAACCAGAACCAAACACAGAGAGGCAGCATTCAGCTTCTATGCTCCAACTACCAGAAAACTGTAAAACAGCCGAAACCCAGACGGACCCGGCTGGTCGGAGCCGATCCAGTACCTGGAACGTTTGCTTATTTACGCTGATGATGGCGTCGATAATTTAACTATCAGTTCTAGTATTGATTTGACAAGGACTGTTGGGTTCTGAGGTACTGACCCGGCAGAGTCCGTTCCTGGTCCAGCCGGCTGGTCTGGTTGTTGATTTGGGCTCTCAGCCTGAAGGTGTGAGCAGCGCAGTCCATCGGCAGCGGAGACGTCCACTTCCAGGAGTGGGTCGACCCGATGAGGCCCGGCGCCACCCAGACTCCGTCCTGAAAGGTTTGCCCAGCGGGTCAGAGGCAGCAGGCCCAACGGGCCTTCATCAACCCAGTCGGGTCAGACTCACCGAGTGAACTTCCTGGTTCTCAACCAGAACCGTCACGTTGTAGAGAATCGGGTCGTTCAGAGCCGAGCAGGACGCGTCGTCTTGCCACTCAACCAGAACCGTCTGGTCCGATCGGCTGACGGTCAGGTTCTGAGGCCCGCATTGAGAAACACCTGAGGAAGGACAGGAAACGCTCCAGAGCTCAAGGTTTTGATCTCCACTGAAGAATCAACATTTTTACTGAGCAGCGTTTGGAGCCGAGTCGGTGACCCGCTGACCTCCGGCAGGTCGGGTGACGGGCCGCTGGGTTTTTGAGTTAGAAAATGTTGACAGGAAATATCACTTGATAATTATGTATTATTGGAAAACTATAAAGTCTTAAAATGCCAACATTTTAAAAAGACTTGAATAAATAAACAAAGCTCAGCCTGGTGGGAGCACAACTAAAGCCTGGTGACCCGCCAGGCTGGTGACCCGCCAGGCTGGTGACCCGCCAGGCTTTAGTGCACTGGGGAAAACCTGCTGAGTTCAAACCTCTAACTTGGATTTAATCTGGACAACGAGCCACAAATATTCACAAAACCACAAAGAAAAAAAGCCAGGATGTGAAAAAATGAAATTATGATGAAGCCACAATAATACAAGAATAAAATTATAACAATATGAGAAAAAAAATCACCATGTCATTAGAATAAAGCAAAAATCTGAGAAAAACTCATATGACACTAAAGTTGAAATAATAAGAAAAGTCATAATATTAGTGAGTAAAGTAGTAATTTTATAATTCCAGCACAAATACAAAAAATATGTTTTACAAATAAATAAATGTTTAACATTTTAATAATCAGCAGTAGAAACGATTGAATCCGTTTCTAAATAAATGATTTTTCTGATCTGACGGTCGATTCCCTTTCAAAGCAGTGAAAACATTAAACACGTTCTGCCTTCAATCCAGAGCGACGGGGAAACTCACCGGTTTGGTTCTGTTGACTCAGCTGGATCAGAACCAGCAGCAGAAACCAGAACCGGATCATTTTAATCCTGATTTGCTCCCAGATGCTGTCGATCCGTAACCGGGACGATCCGCAGAGATTCAGCTGTCAGAGGGAAACTTCCAGCTGTGGTTCTGACCCGTTAGCAGGCAGAACCGAGCCGCGCAGGCGGATCCAGTGAGTGTTGTGTTCCTCCCAGTAGCCAATCAAACCCTGGAAGTTCGTTGCAGTTGTGAAATCCATGAGGAGTTCAAAGCAGGAAATGCAGCCGCTGCATTCCTGGAACAGTTAGTCAGAGCGGCCGGATTGGACCTGCAGAACCGAGCGACGGGAAATGATTCAGACTGAAACTAAAACAACAGCAGCAGGTTTAATGCTCCAGAATCTGAACATCTGATTCCACAGAAAACCAGCAGCGGTTTGGATCAGAACCAGAACCAGTCAGATTCATGATGCAACAAGTTTCCTCCAAGCAGGAAGTTACAAGTTTCCTCCGACTGAAGGATCCAGTTCAGGAAGCTGAAAGCAGAACCACTCAGGACGTTTCCACGTCAAATAAAACCTGATTTATGCATCAGATCAGCTGCAGGTACCTTCATATCAATGTTTAATAACCAGGCTGCAAAATCCTCTGGCAACTTCATAGTTTATGGAAAACATGAATAAACCTGGAGATGAAAACAAGGAGTCTGAATATTACTATTAAATAAAAACCTTCAAATTCAGCCTCCAGAAGAAACACTTTTTATCTCTTAAGTGTTTGGTTAATGTCACTAAAATAACTATTATTTACTAATAATCTTCCCCAATTCAGCTACAGTTCAGCAATGGGGTTTTATTTAGAGGCATCAGAGTAAAAGGGGCCACTTCCTGCTGGTTTGTCCCATAAAATCCCAGTAAAACAAACTGGATGAAAAGTGGAGAAGTTTAAACTTCTGCTTGGTTTCCATGTGGAAATGAATCCACGTTTCTCTGATTAGCTTGATGCTGGTTTCCCAGAGCGGCTGGCAACTTTATTCCATCAGCAGAAGAAGAAAGTGAGTCATGAACCCGATCGGATCCTCAGAACCAGAGCAAACGGGTCGGATTACAGCCCAGCCGACTCCTTCACAGCCTGCTGGGAAAATCCATCATCAGATAGATTTATACTGGAGACTTGATGGTTTCCTGCTGCATGTTTTCATTTGTTACAACGAAACGGTTTGATTTAGCAGAATCACTGCTTCACTGAGGAAACGTCAGAAAGTTTCTCCACTCAGGATAACAGAAATAAAATCCTGTCTTTATGAGAAAGTTTCACTTCTTCTGTTTTTGGGTAAAATAATTACATGTAAGAGTTATCTTATATTTCTAGATCAAGAAGATTTGGTTAAATGTTATTTTTACTAAAAGCACTGCAAACTGAGACGTAGAAATATATAGAAATATACACACAGAACCTTCTGTAAGTATTTATAAGTTTTATATCGACAGTATTTGGAATGTCAGATCTGACTACATTAGTTTTTTGTCATTATGTTCATAAAAGTGACATTTTACATTAATCATTTTATTTTATTTACTTTTAGGTTTAATTTATAAATACATGTATATTGATATATTTCTGATGATGTAATTTAAAATACACTTTATTAGATGATCTGATCAGTGACTCAGTGTTTCAGTAATATTATTACAAAACCCAAATTAATCAGATCAATAATTCACAGCAAAACAATATTTACTGAATTATATTCTGAATTTTTAAACCCGGCAGAACCAGAACCCCCCATGATCCATCTGGGTCATGGTTCTGATGGTTCTTCACTGCGCCAATAACTCAGACATCACATCACCACAACCTACAATACAGATTCAGTTTTAATTTAATCTGGGTTTAATTGAATTTTTAGATCCAAACTTTTTAGATCTGAGTTATTAACTTCAATATGAGGCCAAAACCCCCAGAACTGCAAAAGCTTCCAACAGCCCTGATTCAAAAACTCATTATTTTAAACTTTAAACAAATGAAAAAGATTGTGCATTCAGTTTGTGTTCATAGATGTGTGTGTGTGTGTGTGTGTGTGTGTGTGTGTGTGTGCGCGCAGTGGCTTTAGTGTTGAGTTGGCTGAAGAAGTGAAAGACAGGAAATGTATCAGAGTGATGATGATGATTTTATGGTTTCTCTCATTAAAGAAAAATGAACCATCAGTAAAACGACTCGCTGGTCATATTCAGGCTCTTTGCTGAAAAACAATCTGATATTTTCTGCTCCTCAAAGCGAATCAGGGAGGATTTTACTTGCTGTCTCATAAAGACGCCATCAGATGAAGTTAAATTAACCACTGCAGGAAGGGAAACACTTTTACTCCTGTCAGTCAGACAATTTATGTTTCAGTTCATTTTGTAGAATTAAAATGTTTATTGCTTTAAACTGCTGAACAATGAATGCTAACCAAATTTCAGCTACATAATAAATTATTGGTTAAATTATGATTTAGTGAAGCTGCTGTAGCTTTAATCTGTGTTGGGATGTTGGATTTTATGTGACACTAAATGTCCACCAGATGTCACTGTCGACCCATCCAGCAACATGCAAAGAAATCACAATTCAAACAAACATAAATTACAGTGTGGAAACATGGAATGACCAAAATTAGTCCTTCAATGTTTCAGGCAGAAAAGAGAATAAAATCATGATAAAACTGAACAAAAAGCCAAGTTATAAACTGTTTGAGTCATTTCTTCAGTGTAAATGGCCAAACGTTAGCCATATAGCAGCTTTTAAAAGGTTCACACGAATTACCGAAGCAAAGTGTAGAAACATGGCAGTGTTTTTTATTTTATTTTATATATTATTATTATTATTAAACAAACAATACACAAAGACTCGTTGAGGTACAAAGAACATTGCAACACAGGTAGAAAGAGAAACATGGCGGTGTTGTTTACCAGGCTAGTCCATCCTCAATGCTGCTGATTCCTGGCGCCATTTTTGTTTCTCAGATGTTGCAGTGAGTCCAGCAGCCAAACAAAACGTCGAGATCGGGCCGGTTATCAAGCACAAAAAGCGACTCTACTAACTTCATCGGGGAAATAATAAACTTGTTTTCAGGTAAATCACCTTGGTCGCGCTCCTCAGAGCAAACATCCAGGCGGACTGGGCCTTGCTATGCTAAAATCCTCCAGCAGGGTGGATTATGGCGCCAAGCTTCTTCTTCTTGTATTAGACCAACTCTGTTAGTGCAATGCCGCCACCCACTGGACAGGAAGATAACACGAAATAAAATAAACTCAAACATTTATATATATTTTTAAAGCAGATTTATTAACATTAGTTATCTAAATCATCTCTATTTGATTTTTATTTTTCTGAAATAAATTATCTGTTTTTATTGCATTACTTTCAAATATTTTAAATTGTTTCAGGAACTTGAGAAACACTGTATAGATCTATCACACGCAGATTGGAAACCTTTTTGGTTTTCCACTTGCATGTAATGAAAACGAGACCGTTGAAATTAGAATATGAACCCCACACCATTCAAAAATATATTTAATACGGAAATTCAGACTTTATGAAAAGAACGTTTGATGTTCGGACTTGACGTTCACCAAGCGTCGTTTGGACTTTCACTCACTGAAGGAAAAAATGTCATTATTGCTGCATTTAATGAGCTTGTATTTCCTTCTTTATGGTGTTTATTATTTTCCACTAAATTGTTGTCTTAGAAAAAAAAATAATTATGGAGGACCTAAACTGACATGAATGAAAGCAGAAATCTGTATTTCAACAACATATATTTAGTTTTTTCTTTTCTTTAAATATGATTTTGACAAAAAAATAATATATTTTGTTTTTCACATGAAAAATTATTTATCTCCTCTCATTGTTGTAGAAACTTTTTTAAGTTTATCATCAACAGGGATTAAAAACTTGAAGTTCAAATACAGATAAAATATAAATGAGTAACAATGAAATTCTGTATTTATTTTTAGGGTAAAAAGTCCATTTATACATCACTTTAGCACACACAAGCTTCATGTTGAATTAATTTACTTCAGGTAAAATAAAACAAACTGACCCACAAATGATCAGTAAATTGTCAAATGAACGTCTTCATGCAGCTGACAGCAGGAAGACAACATGGCCGCTGCTGTAAACCAGGAAACATTTGATAAAAAGAACAGAAACCTTCATGATTAGCAGCTGATCTAAACTCTGATACAAACTGAGGAACAACAACTGGACCCAGTTTTACTTCAGATCTCTCTTCCAACAAGCTGCTGGTTTCTGGACAGGAACCGGTCCAATCTGAGGCAGAACCTCCTCCCTGGCTCTAAAGGAAACCCAGAGGTCAGAGGTCATGATGTCGAGTTTCCCTTAACACTGCAAGACTGGATCAGAAAACTGTCAACTCAACATTTTTCTACAAATCTTTATATGAAGCCAACCAAAAATAAACAATAATTTGGATTATTTTATGAGAGGAAAAAAAAGTTTTTATACTCATTGTCATCATTTTATTCACTCATTTTAAAATGTTAGCTCCATAGTAAGTAGTTACTAGGCAAATCTTAGTTACCTATTTATTTATGTCAATATTTAGATAAATATTCATCTCTAATAAAATAGCTAACCAATATTTATCTTGCCAAATCAATATTTAGTTTCCAAATATTTGGAGCTAAATATTGAACTACCTGAAGGCTACATGCTAATGCTAAGCTATGCTAATATATCTTGTTTACAACCTAAACATGCAGTTAAGCTAAGTTAACTAGAGACTTAGCTCACTGACTGCATAGTTTACAAACTAAATATGTAGTTCACACTTTGATAAATATTTAGTTTGAAACTGTGGAATTTATAAGTGAATAAATATTAAGGTGAAAACATCACTGAAAATGAACACATTAATTTCCTCCAATAACTAAATAATCCAAATCATTGCTGTTACTTTTTGACTGTAACTTTTCACAAACTGTTTATGAACATGTTGGACAAACTGGCTTTAGGTGAACAGACATTCTGACTCTTTAAACAAAATTATGTGAAACAGAAAATATAAAAACAGATGCAGTGAAATGTTTAAGGCCTTTTTACCTCAAATGATTGATTATTCACTTCATCTGATTGATTTTGCAGCACTTGAACGATTCCTATCAAACATTTTGAATAATTCAGGAAATAAATCAACTAATTG